ACTCCACTAGCCCCTGGGGAGCCCAGATAGTGTTTGCCAAGAAGAAGGATGGGGGATTATGAGTATGTTTAGACTATCGAGGACTAAATGCCATAACCAAAAAGGACCGGACCCCGCTACCAAATCTACAGGAGATGCGAGATTGGGTAGCCGGTGCAAAGTGCTTCACGAGTATTGACATCAAAGACACTTACCATCGCATCAGAATAAACCCACACGATGTGCAAAAGACTGCCATTCATACATGATTCGGACACTTTGAGTATCTGGTAATGCCTTTTGGATTAACTAACGCTCCAGCTGCATTTCAGCGCCTCATCAACAAGATCCTTGGCCCACATTATGATGACCTAGTCCTCGCCTACCTTGACAACATCCTGGTATTCTCCAGGACAATGGAGGAACACCAGAAGCATGTAGATATTGTGCTTCGAGTCTTAACTGAACACAAACTCTATGTGAACCCAGCCAAGTGCATGTGGGGACAACCTGAGGTCGAGTTCTGCAGACATATTATCGGACGAAACGGAATACAGATTGCTCCCAGCAAGATCCTAGCTGTTCAAGACTGGCCAGAGTTGTGAAACCATCATGATGTCCAATGATTCTTAGGATTAACTAATTACTTCATTGACTTCATCGACCGATATGCAGAAATCGTGATGCCCCTCTCGCAACTACAATCTGGAAAGAAAACATGGCAATGGAAAGAAGAAGAAAAAGCGGCATTCGAAAAGATCAAAAATGCTATTACCACTGCACCCATCCTGATGACCTTTGACCCAACCAAAGACACTTTCATCTTCACTGATTCATCAGGATTTGTGATCAGTGGATGGCTAGCCCAGACCACAGACCTGGAAGATGAGATACCATCTCTGCTGCCGAAGACCATCGGAGAACTTAAAGCGCTACCCCATCTATGACCAGTCTCATTTTACTCCCATAAGATGAAACCCGCCGAGACATGGTATCCAGTTCATGAACAGGAACTTTTAGCCCTAGTCAAGTTCTTGAAACATAACCACCCATATCTGATTGGTATCTTCTTCCGTGCCTTCACTGACCATAAGAGTCTGATCTACCTCCAGATGCAGCCGCATCTTTCCCAAAAACAAGCAGGATGGGTTGAAACATTACAACAATTCGACATGACAATCGAATACATGCCCGGACAAGTTAACCATGTTGCAGACATTCATTTGTGGAACCCACACTATGCACCCTGATGTGCAGAGTGTCAACAATGAATCCAGTTGCAAGCCATATTAGTCGCCAGCACTGAGACCATGCTAATGCCATTTAGTTGCGAAGAATGGATTCAGGCACTGAACCAAGACAATTACACCCTCACAATAATCGAGACATTGAAGACAACACCAGCCCATGCCTTAGGATCAAGGCTACAATGCTACGCAATACAAAATGACCTCCTAACTTACGAGAAGGACCAGCTATACATACCAGAAAAGCAGTGTACTAGAATCTTACAGCAATATCATGATAGCCTAATAGATGGCTCGCATGAAGGTCAACGATGCACATTAGCTAAAATTCTACGAAGATTCTACTGGCCTCACCTTGAACGTGACATCTACGCATATATTCGGACTTGTCCTGAAAGCCAACAATACAAGAACCCTTTATGGAAGCATGGGTTTTTGCGACCATTACCAAGCCCTAATAGTCGATGGCATACGATCAGGTTCGATATGACTTATATGCCTCCGGGCAATAGCACCCATGGATTCCGACCCAACGCCATTCTTTGTTTCGTCGATTACTTGACTAACCGGACCATCCTCATACCAACACTCCAAGCTTCCAATGCTCGCAATCTTGTGCAGACATATTTGTCCCAAGTCTACAAGAATGTAGGAGCATCCAGGATCTTTATTACTGACCATGACCCAAAAGCCCTTTCCAATTTCTTTGAGGCCTTCTGTAAAGTCCTTGGTATGAAACACCAATTCGCTAGTGCCCGACACCAACAAACTGATGGCAAATGCGAATGGATGATATGGACAGTAAAGTCCATATATCGGCCGTACCTCAACTATGTGGCAGACAATTGGCCACAGTATCTTCCTCTCCTCGAATTCACATTGAACAACACCCCGAATCAACATGGACTAACACCATTTGAGGCAGATATTGGGTGAATGCCCTTACAAGCGGATGGAGTCATTACTTCCACAGAACTCCAAACGATGAAACCTATCAACCGAAATGAGATCAAGGACATCAAAAAAGCAATGGACAAAATAGCCGTAATCATTCAACACCGCATGAAGGAACTACAGGATAAATATGCTGAACACTATGACAAAGGATGCACAGCTATTACCTTTGCCATAGGAGACTGGGTCCTACTCAATCACAAAGGGATTGAGGTAGACATTAGTCTACAAAAACCAGCAAAGCTAGCTGCTAGCTGGATCAGTCCCTACACAATCAAAGCAATAGGACCTTATCCGGACACCTACGAGCTCAAGTTACAGGATACTCGCTTATCCGCCTTATATCCTATCTTCCACATTAGTGTCCTAAAGAAATACAAAGACCTGGCATCTCACCGCTATAGGAACATAGTAGTACCACCACCTCCTGTTCATATCACAGGGATTCCCGAATATGAAGTTGAGGAGATTATTGACCAATGCCGACGACTCGGTAAACCACAATTCCTCATCAAATGGAAAGGATACCTGCATAGCAAGAACACTTGGGAACCTCTCCACCACATTCGACAGACAGATGCTTACAAGATTTGGAAAATGGAGCATTAAGAATGTGAAACATATATTTACGAAGATGACATCTATTACAAGTATACAAGCATACCCAACAGACCCACACCAACCACAAACCCCAAGCGCAAGGTCCCAACAGCCCAAAATGGAACAAAAACAATATGTTTTTCAGGGGTTTGTTGAGAACGACTGGGCTTGAAAATACTCTCAAGCCCCTGACTGGTCAAAAATCTAAATCCAGTCCACTCCGATTAACAACATGAAAGACAAAAGAAATCGACAATGAACAATGACTTACCCGAGCATGCAAAATGCTATGCATGGGACCATGGAGGCAATGACCCACTGGGTCACCACCTCCATAACCATTCCCATGACGTGATAAGCAAGGTGCCTGCGTAAATCATGCAGAGCTTATGCGTGCAGTCAGTCTCAAGTGTGGACCAAGCCACATTGTGATGTCCATGTGGAGAAAAGACATTCTTTGAAGAAAGATGTTATCAACAGTGGGTAGTAAGAATGATAGAGGGGAAAGCGAAATACGCTCCCATTTAAAAGAACAAAGCAACTGGTTCTTTGTAAGTAAAAAGAGGCTTCCAAGTACGCGTGTATATTCAGTAGGGCTTTAGTATGTAGATGATGCAACAAGAGTAAAAAGGCTTGTCTAGCACTAAGATAGCAATAAGCACATTTTTGTATAAAGTATATACATGACCAGAAGGAGTGACGACTCAGCAAATGGTGCCCGTGGGCACCGGGTGAAGCTGCTCCAGGGGTCAGCCCCCAAATTGTATAAAGTATAAAAGGGCCAGAAATGGAGTGATGACTCAGCAAATGGTCCCCGTGAGCACCGGGTGAAGCTGCTCCAGGGGTCAGCCCCCAAACAATTGTAAGGTAGACCTGTCCTTTAGTATTCACACTTAACGTGCGGACTTAGATTTTCGTGACACGTCTCTCATATCACCATATATAGCTATAGTGATCATGTAGCCATGTATGGCCAAAGTATGGTGCAGCATGTAACAGTAGTTAGATTATGTAAGCCCCGCCACGCCGATGACCTGTCAAAGTCATTCGGTTCCATGGTGGCCCCGTAGTTAGAAGATTATTTGTCTCTTTATTTGCTAGTGCCAATCACTTCCAATTGGCACAAGAGGGACCACACTGGCAGAGGTGGGAAATCTCATGCCGATGCCCCACTGAAGGAGGGAGCAAGCATAAAAGAGTGCTGCTCCAAAGCCCCTCAGAAAGGGGGGCAGCAAGCAAGGAAAAACTAGAAGAACAACTAGCCTAGTTAGCAATGTGAGGAACTATCAATAGTTCCCTTTCTCTTGTATTAACAACAAAGTCTTTATACAGCCCTCTCACAGGGCCCAATGATTCACCAGAAAACATCGACTAGAGCAATCTGGTCGATTGACGTTACAACTGCACCCATCCTGGTGACCTTTGACCCAACCAAAGACACTTTCATCTTCACTGATTCATCAGGATTTGCGATCAGCGGATGGCTAGCCCAGACTACAGACCCAGAAGATGAGATACCATCTCTGCTGCCGAAAACCATCCAAGAACTTAAAGCACTACCCTGTCTATGACCAGTCTCATTTTACTCCCATAAGATGAAACCCGCCGAGATGTGGTATCCAGTTCACAAACAGGAACTTTTAGCCCTAGTCAAGTTCTTGAAACATAACCACCCATATCTGATTGGTATCTTCTTCTGTGCCTTCACTGGCCATAAAAGTCTGATCTACCTTCAAACGCAGCCACACCTTTCCTGATGACAAGCAGGATGGGTTTGTTAGCTAGTGAGGGTATATTCCTATAGGGAATGTATTAGTGATAGAGAGTAGGAACAGAGTGAACTCTACTCTTGTATAGATGTTAAGAAGTCTATTGTATGTTAAGAAGTCATTCTTTAATATACTACTAGTGATGCAAGAGAAATCTAATGACGTGTGTGGCACATGTGGCGCGTGGCGCAGTGAAGATGCGCCTGCGTGGCGTAGCGGTTAAGTGGCTTAGAGGTCTGCTACCTGTGATCGCTAACACCCCCACTCAGACCTGTCAAAAGTCTGAACCGCTATTTTCTTTACAAGACAAGAACCCATTGCCCACCGACTTTCTACACTTTCACACATACTTCTATCAACTGTAAGACCTGCCGTGACATCATTGCAGACTTGCAGAGCTCATTTGGCTAGCTGCTAACGGTGTTTCCAGCTCTTTTTTTTTTTTTGTATTATGGCACCAAAGGAAGATAAAGGCAAAGGCAAGGCCAAGGGAGAGCCACCCCATGCAAAGACATTGGCCGAGCTAATCCGCGAGTGGTCTGCGGAGCAGGAGACCACGCCTGATGTCCTGCTGGTCCCTTCATCTAAGAAGGGCAAGGAAAAGGGGAAGTTCGAGCTTCCCAGCGAGAAGTCTTGGGGAAAGGGCCTTTCCCAACAGCTGCGCGAGCTCTCGGCGGAGAGTAGTGCGGCATCCCCTGGTGGCCCTTTGTTTCCTGGATTTGGCAAGAAGTGGTGGCAGGGGCCGGCTCCTTTGGTAGAGGGAGCGGTGAGTGGGGTGGTGTCACTGAGGGCAGAGGCGGGTGCACGACCAGAGGGCAGACAAGGCAAGACTCCTAAGGAAGAGGAGAGACCCAGGAGAGGGGTTTTTGAGGCTGTGGTGTTAACAGCCAAGAGAAAAGTGGCAAAAGCAGTGGGAAAAGTCCCAGAGCCTGCATGCAAGCTTAGCGCACTCAAGGATGAGTTCATAGAGGCAGCGCGCCGCTGTGCCTTCTTGCAACACCGGAAGGATAGGGAAGAGGTGTTGCAGAGGCAGTTGTCTTTGGCAAAGACTGAACAGGAGGTTACGCGATCCTTGCCCGTACACAGTCCCATGCATCTGGAAGCTCTGGGGAAGTACCGTGGTCTCCAAGACCTTTCTCTGAATAGGGCTTGGAGGAGTGGAAGGGCCCCAGCCTTCCCTCCTACTGAGTTCCAGAAGGAGAAAGCCCGGCATGTGAAGAAAAAGGCTGCGGGCGTGGTGCGCGACGAGATTGCGAAGCTCACCAAGCTCTTGGAGGAGGTGGTGACTGATGAGGGGGAGGAGTTTGCAGAGATGGTGAGGGAGGGTGAGGAAGAGGAGGAGGAAGAGGGGGAGAGTGAGGGGAAGGACAGCGAGGATTTGGACAGTTGGGATGATCTGTTTGGCCCTTTTGGTGGATTTGGTGGTGTGGGCGGCGCAGGTGGATTTGGTGGTTTGGGTGGTGCTGGTATTTCTGTATAATTTATATCAATCATATTCAGTTGTCGTGTTTCACAATCCCCGTGCATTTCAGCTTCCACTGAGTTTGCCTCCACATACGCGGGTCATGCATGCATTTGAATATTATCCAGGCCATCCATGATTCACAGTCTCAGTCAATTATGATCCTCCTGGGTTAATGGCTTGGTGAAGTAATCAGCCATCTGCTCCTTTGTATCCATGTCCAGAATCACGATTTGTTTATCTGTGACACCTCTGCATATACCATGGTAATGCCTATCAATATGTTTCATGCATTGGTTTATGGCCTTGGTTTGGGCTAAAGTGGCAGCACTCTCATTGTCAATATGGAGAGGGGTGGGCACGAGCTGGAAGCCAGCAATGGGCTTAAACATGTCCGCGAGGATTTGGTGTATCCAGAGGATCTCTCTGAATCCCACACTTGCTGTGATGTACTCTGCTTCTGTGGTGCTATGGGCAACACAGGTTTGCTTGCTACTTTTCCAATGGATGGGGTAGCCATTCCAGGTAGCTAGCAAGCCGGACATAGATTTGCAATCCGAGAGGTCGCCTGCATAGTCCGCATCTGTATACACCCTGAGACCGCAGGGATCTTTCTCCAGGGATGTGTAGGTAATGGCAAAGTCCCTTGTTCCTTTCAGATATTTGAAGATATGCTTGACTGCCTCCCAATCACATTGGGTAGGTGTGCTGACGTTGCGCGCAACATATCCGACCGCAGTGGCAATGTCCCATTGCCATGAGATAGAAGCCCAAGTAAGGGCCCCCACTGCTTCTTGGTATATCTTGGGGTTAGGGAAAGGTGCTGATTCTTGCATCTGTTGACTGCGCACGGACATGGCATATGGTGTGGCAATTGCATGGCAGTTCATTAATTTGAAATGGTCAAGCAGGTTGTCAATATACATCGGGTTGGAGAACTTGAGGGTCCTTATGTCTGCGGAGATGTCATACTCATATGCCAGTCCTAGATGGTTGGTTATGTGACCTTGGTCCATAAAGGAAAACTTACTATGAAGCTCCTTCTTTGACTCATTCATTTGTTCAGGATCCTTGGTTAGGATCAGTAGATCATCCACGAAGATCATTATGATTACGAGCGTCAACAGGGATGGCTGAACATCGGAGTTGGTGTGCCCTGGCGCGGCGTACTTGTAGAACATGCAGGGGCTTATTTCCACCACGCAGTAGCCGAGTTCTTCCAGGGCAGTTCTGAGGTTTTGGTACCAGAGGAGGGGTGACTGCTTCAGGCCATAGAGCGCCTTTTTCAGCATCAGTACCCAGCTTTTCCTTGGCTTGTTAGGTAGTTCAAAGCCTTCAAATTGCTCAATGAAGACTTCCTTGTCCATTTCACTGTTGAGAAAAGCAGTGACGGAATCCATTGAGTGTATGTCCAATCCATGTTGGACCATGTACATGAGGAAGAGGCGGAGGATTGGAAGTGGTAAGGTTGGGGAATACATATCATCAAAGTCGATTCCTGGCCTTTGGGTGAAGCCTTGGCATACTGCTCTGGCTTTGTATTTCTTGAATGTGCCATCAGGGTTGAATACTTTGTGGCAAACCCACTTTGTGCTGATCACATGCTTATGGGGCGGATGCGGTACAGTGACGTACGTGCCGTGTGCCTTCAGGGATTCAATTTCCTGTTGGCAGGCTATCAGGTAGTCGTTGGCATCTGGAGTTGCCATTGCCTGTTTAAAGGTCAGGGACTCAGGGTTTATTTTTCCTGTATGCACATCAATGGCATATGCTTGGATGCAGTTTTCCCATGTGTCCAGCACTTGTGTGTCATCGACAGTGACTCGGGGTTCCCAGGTAGGGTCTGTATAACCAGTCCATTTCACAAGGTATTCAGGCTTGTGCACGCGAGTCTGGCATTTGTCCATGATGTAGTCAATTTGATACTCCTGATCATCATCGGAAGTGGTCTCATCCAGCAGATCCATAGTGCTAGGATCTTGCTGATATTTGAGTTCAAGAGGGGCGTCTTCGTTAAACTTGATGTCCCTGGAGGTCGCAATAGCATTGCATACCAGATCCCAAACAAGGTAGGCCTTGGTGCCATTTTGTTGGGCATACCCCACTAGGTATGTCTTCCTTGCTCTGTTGGCCATCTTGTCTCTGCCAGCAGCAGGGACATGGGCATACGCAATGCAGCCAATGTGCCTGAGGTGCGTGACGTTGGGGCGGCATTGAAATAGTAGCTCGTGGGGGGTTTTGTCACTCAAAGAGTTTGGAGTGAGATCATGGAGGTAGGTCACCATTTGTATTAGGATGGCCCATAGTTTCCATGGCAGTTTCATGTCTGCGAAGATGGCGCATACTCGCCCTAAGCTTGTATGGTTCCAGCGCTCAGCAATGCTGTTCTGTTGACTGGAGTATGCCGTAGTCTGTTGATGCTGGATGCCACAGTCCATCAGGTACTTGTGGAATATGCCATGATATTCGCCTCCTCGGTCTGTATGAACAGTGCATATTTTCTTGTCTGTGGTGCATTCGAGCCATGCCTTGAATTCCTTGAATTTGGAGAGGATGGTCTCTGCTTCCTTGTTTGGTATGCAGTAAGTGACACCATACCTAGAGGTGTACTCAATGTACACGAGAGCGTAGCATTCTCCATCCAGGCCTGTAATTCAGAATGGTCCTTGTAGATTGGAGTGAATTAGCTCACAAAGTTCTCTTGGTTCTTTGTTTGCTGGTGGAAATGGTGTGCAGGATGATTTTCCAAGTATGCATGCCTCACAGTCCCTATGACTGTGAGCCCCCACTATGGGCCAGCTGAGCATAGCCAATGCCATCTTTCCTAGGACATGTTGTCCTATGTGTCCGAGTCTGGCATGTGCAAGGGCAGGTGATACCTCTGTTGCACAGACTTCTGTATCTGGAAAGCCCTGGGGTTTCAGGGTTCCTTCCAGGTAATATGCATTGTTCCATCATATGCCGCTTGCAATTTGTCACCTGTTTTTCATGAGAGAAACTTCTCCACTACTGTGGAAGGTTACATCCACACCATTTTCATTACATTTGGGGATGGAGATTAGGTTTTTCTGCAGCCCATCAACATGGAGGACATCACGCAATTCGAGTGGAGTCGAATATCCATCTGCTTTGATGATAACATTGCCTTGTACAGTTGATTTTAAAATGGTGTTGTCAGCTAAGCTGACATTCCTCACATCCTGATATATGGTGGAGGGATCCAAATGACCCCTATTGGGTGTCATATGGTCAGTCGCGCCGGAATTGATAAGAGCACTGTACGGCACATCATCGTGTACCATTTCCACATGGCAAGCCTCTGTTAGGCTTGCACTCAAGCAGTTGGATTGTTTCTGGACCAGCTTGAGGATCAAGGGACATACAGTCCTTGGATGTGATGCATTGCAGTATCTGCATGGTCAAGGTGTACTTTGATTCGAGTTTTGATTTGAGTGTTGGTTTGAATTCGGTTGCTTCTCGATGTGGCCCTCATTTTGCTTCTTTTGTTTTCCTTTCTTTCCCTTTTTGGAAGTCGTGGATTGTCCAGATGCATTGTCCATTTGCGTGACCTGTGCAGGGGCGGCGTGCATACTGCCTCCCTGGGGTTTCGCATGCTTGTGAATCACTGGATAGATTCGGGTTGCCGCTTCTTGTAGGGTTTCCAGAGAGGTAAGGTTTTCCTCATTGGATTGCAGCAGTGCTGCTACTTCTGCCGGTAGGGCAGAAATGAAGTAGTCCTGTTTAATAAAATCAGGCATAGATGGTAGTGAGTATATCTGAGAGTTGAAATATGCCACAAACTCATCCATGCTCTGGGACTGGTTTGTCTTGGGCTTTAATTGTTTCAACCATCTCAATGTATCATGCATATGTGTTCGTGGCATGAAGCGCACATACAAGGCAGACCGTAACCCAGTTATTGTTCGTCCGTGTCCATCCTCTTGATCATACCAAGCAGTAAAGCTTGCCTGTCTTGTTGGTGACAGTGATGTCCACCATTGTTGAGCTAATCCCATGAATTTGGTGCTCACAAAGTCTACAACCATGTCAGGTGGAACCATCTGGTGCTTTATTACCATGTCTACTCTGCCCAGAAATGTATTGAGCTTCATAGTATTTGGTTCCCCATTATATTGCCCGATATCCTTTAGCATCCCATCCACAAATGCTCTGCATCCGCGCTTGTCTGCCGTACTTGATGTTGACATGTAAACTGAGCTTGTGGGTGAATTTGACCTCACTGACATCGCTATGTGGTAAGTGCTGGGTGGTTGTAGGAGAGGGTTTGGCGGCCCACTGTGTGGTATGCCCCCACTAGGTGTATGCAGTCTTGCCCTTTGCTCGTCCGCATACTGTGCTTTTCCATAATGGGTTTGCACTGTTGGTTCAGTCCTCACAGCTTCTTTGCTGTTTTCTCTTTTTACAGTGAGAATGAGCTGTCCAACAAGTGCTTCAAGCCTATCTATTCAATTGCTCGAGTCCATGTCCTCCGGGCGCACAGCATATGTCCCACTTGGAGGATATTCTGCAGAGTATTCCATTCTTCTCTCACTGGTGCCCTCAGCCAGAGTGCTTGGCCATATTTCCATCTTTATTTGGTCCATTTCCTGTTTGGGCACGTGCGCCCCAGGGTCCCGTACAGGGTCCAATAGGTATCTGCTGTACCCAACATCTGGGTCTGTGTTTTCAGGGTCCTCCGGGAGTGTGTCATGATATACAGACTGATTTAGGAGGTCCTGCTCGGAGGGTTCGTCCAAATATGGTATGCCTTGCATGCATGTAGAAGTTCCTTGAGCGCTGCCTCATCATGCCAGCATTTTGCTGCATGTGAGAGGCGGTGTTCTTTGAAGTGGTACTCTACTTCCAGGGCTCATAACCTGTTAGCTAGTGAGGGTATATTCCTATAGGGAATGTATTAGTGATAGAGAGTAGGAACAGAGTGAACTCTACTCTTGTATAGATGTTAAGAAGTCTATTGTATGTTAAGAAGTCATTCTTTAATATACTACTAGCGATGC